GGAACTTGAGGATTTAGTTCAAAGGTTTGTTTTTCTAGACAAACAATTAGTACTTTTTGTATTTCTGCGATGTAGCAGATTCACTTAGGGTCGTTCATTATTATCTCAAAGTTTTCTTGAATAAGTTAATGTTGGTTTGCAACTGATTACCAATAGTTAGCAAATATCGACATTTTGCATGAGCTTCAGCCCATATTGTATGCTTCCTTGTGGTGTAGATAATGAACTTTGAGGACCTTCCACGTCTGGAACCTCTGCTGGATCTTCCAGTTGCACACCTAGTGGAAGATTCGATTACCGTAATCGTGCCGATCGGCCCGGGTCATGCAGACGACGAGATTCTGTCACTAGAGGACTCGGAAATTATCGCGGCGCCGGCCGTGGCCGGGGAGGTGGACCTCCATCGACTGAACCCCAGCCTGGAGGAGACGCTGGATCTGATTCAGCGGAACTCCTCTGGTCTACGTCGAATACAGGTTATCCTTTTCAAGCCAATAAAACATACTTGCTACTATGAAATAGGCAGGCAGTTACACCAAGTAAGAAACACCAACATAAAACTGTTCTTTTCTTTCTACAAGCTGTCATCTACATGAGATGTGGGTAACAGTTTACTATAGGGATCTCCGCGGCGGTAATACGGGACTGGCGGTAATTTTGGTTATACGGATGGGGCATTACGTTGGCGCATGAGAGATTGTAAAAGGAATATAGAAAATGAAAGCAGGAAATAAAACTTAGAATTATTATGATTGGCTAATATATCAACGAACGAACGCGCGATAGTTATAAAAATAAGGGAAAAGCAATTTTACGATAATTGGGACGCAAATCGAATCCGGAAGTTCCAAAAAGTCGAACGCGAAACGAGTCGGATGTTGGCCAACTCTGTCGAACGCAAATCGGACCCAAAAATTTGAAGCTCATTTTTCAACCGGGTAGTGAGTACTCCACTTCGTGCAAAAAAAACTTTACAAATCGTAATAATATAACGTTTGTAAGACTTTTAATAGTAAGTGTTATATGTTATGAATGTAAAATGCGATAAAGAAGGTCACTGTACATGCTTACTACTACTACTAAATAAATAGGCGTGTAGATAAAGTTAACAAGGCCGTAGTGATCCTCATAACAGATTTCTTTGTAGTGGTCTAAGTAGTATTTGTATTCGTAGCACTAAAATCGTCAGGTCGAATCTCAGGT